AAGTAAATGGCTCATCTAACTCACTTCCAGTTTCTTCCTTCCTATTCACTTCATTAAGATGCTGATTTAAAGTTATTGATCTCCTCCTTCTCTCTTCTTCAGACAAATTTTCTGAACTATGAATCCTTGTAAATGATTTGGCCATCATCTCAGCCTTCTCCTTATTGGAAACTGCGGTTTCTTCTTCAAATACCATAACTGGATATTCCCACTGCCTCCTATCTCCCCCCATCCGTTTAATCATTCCCCACACTTCTCCCACCGGCGTCGTTCTACCTATTTCATCACAGAAATTTCTCCAACTACTCCTCTTTGCTTGGCGTATTTTTCTCCTAACTATTGCTTGAGCCTTCTTGTACTGCATTAGATGTTGCACATTATGTGTTCTTTTAAGCTTTCTGAAAGCTTTATTTCTGTCCCTTACTGCCTGTTGACATTCTTCATTCCACCAAGGCACCAATTTTCGATTTACCCTGATTCTCCCCTTAGGTATAGCTTCCTCTGCTGCCATAATAATTGCTGAAGTTATTTGACTGTTAACATCATCTATACTTCCAGACACCTCAACCACAGCCCTTGCATCATCACTCAAATTCTTAACCCTTTCCCAATCAGCTTTACTAAAATTCCATTCGTATCATATCGTAGCCTAAGGTTTAAATCATTGCCTTTTAAATATATACAAATAATAGAACGTGTATGATGTATTATTATAGGTGATATTACTCTTGCCAAGCTCTGATTTCTGAGAGATGCACAGAGAGGCAACACCAATGCTGTGTTTGATTTGCGCTCTTTTCATTCATAAAGTTTACATTCATTCACTTCACACTCTATTGCGTGAATTTAGAGGTCTGTGTATAATATTGCGCTGATCCCCTGGCTCAACTGTTATCTAGCAAACACCAGACTGTGCCAGCCTCAGCCGAATATTACATATTCAGCATAATTATTCCTTGTCCGTTATTGGTTTTAGAAGCCATTATCCGTGCCATTCCGAATAAGGTATTCGGCCTCGGGCACACCCCTAATTATTACATTACATATTTTAATTGTACATGCAACATAGATAAAGTCATAGAAAGTAACAGCTACACGCAATATTGTAATCCTAAAATTCACGTAGTACTTGCAAACTCTGTGCATGCATGCATTATGGTTAATGCATGCTTGAGTAGTCGATTGTTTCCGACAGCGCCGACTAGTGGTTGAAGTAGTCGATCACTCGACTACTCGGCTAGTCTATGCAAGCCCTACCAGTGAGACACCTTATCCGATGTCCATCAGATCCCAGTTTCTGTGCAAACTTTAGCCTGGGTGAAAGAAGCCTTTTATTGAGGTGATGTTGCCAGTGACCTTTGTATGGTGTTTCCACCAATGCAACACATCCTCAGTTGTGTTCCCCAGCCTCATTGGGTGTTTTGGCCCTTTATCACAAGACACCCTCAGCCGAGGCAGGCCCACCACAGGCTGGTCAGACCCGGGTGTGTGTCAATTTGGCAGCCCACACTGTGTCCATCCGCTTTAGCCACAGCCAGTGGCTGCTTCTTTCAGCGACAATGGCCAGTTCCCTGACTATCCTCTGCTGGACATGTCCTCTGATGCCCAACTCCTTCAGCAGCCTTATAGTGGAACTAGCCACAAAGCCCCTGCAGCCCACTTCCACCGGGTATATTTTCACTGTCCAGTCCCGCTCCTCTGCCTCAGCTGCCAAGTTAACATATCGCAGCTTCTTCCTTTCAAAGGCTTCGTTAATGGCCTCTTCCCAAGGGACCGTCAGTTCGACTATTATGACGATCCTACTGGAGGAATAATTGAATTAAATGTAATAACCGCTTTCTTAAATGTACTTAAATATTTAATTGTTGTCCTTCACAAACCATCTTTTTTACTGTGCAGATATCTTGTATCAATGTGCGTTTTTTTTCTTTTCAGATAATCAAAGCATTTTAACTCAAAATGTTTTGTGTGTGTTCCTCTGTTTTGTACTCAGGTCCCTTTGTTTCCAGTTCCTGTTGCCTGTAATTCAGATCTGTCTGATGTGCTTGTGTATTGGTGGAGACCCTAAAGGCATTGATGTGGCTGTGGTCAATAATGAAAGCAGTCCCAGTGCCTATAGTAGATCACTGCTGTCCTTCCTTGACAACACGAGTGTCTACCAGGTACGCATATTTGTTTTCAAACACAAAATTTACTAAATAAAGATCCTATGTATATAGGACTTAATTTGTCTGTTGACAGTATTTTTTTCTTTTTTTATTCTTTAAAATAAAAAAGAATAGAAAGAATAGATTAGAACTTATAGACAGACACTCTTGTTCTCTCACTTCCTCTTTTCTTGATTTCACTTCAACAAATCAGAGGAACAAAAACAACTTTATAAATAGTCAAGAGAAAAACTTTACATTTATTTTCAGTGTTCATTTCTAGATAAAAGAACAGTTTCCTGTTTCCTTTCTGCAGGTGAGCTTGTCTCATTCTGAAGCTTTTGCTGGTATCCGAAATGGGGAATACTGGGGCGTCATAGAGTTTGGGGAGAATTTCACCAGCTATCTAACCAAAAGGTGAGCTCCATTGTGTAAGAAGTTTGTTATGAAAATGACCTGAAAGAACACGTTTTGAGGTTGTGACCAAAGAATGTCTGCCAAGTTCCATAATCCTGACTGTAAAGCTCACCTTGAAAATGACACATATTTGTTCTGTCTATTAAGCTATTTTTTTATCGTATATATTTTTAAAAACCTATTTGGACCATTTGACTTGTTTGGCTAGTTAATTGCAAATAATCCATTAAAAAAAAAAGTGATTCATTTACAACTTTTACTTTAACCAGTGAACACTAATGTTAGCCAATACTGCAAGTAGATTTACTTTTGTCCAGTCTCTTTTTTGTTCATTAGAGGGCGACTTCAAACAAGTGATATTTTTTCTGCATCCTCTTAAGGTGTGTCAGATGTTCTTTAGACCCATTCCTCCTATTAAGGGTTCCACTTTCATCAGCTAATCATGCACACTCAATTATCTTACACATAACACACAAACACCTGCCTCAATAGTCAGAAACACTCAACTGCATCAGTGCACACACATATACACACACCAGCCCCGTGTGTTCACACACACACAAACACAAGCACATGCCTATATGATTGGCATAAAATGATTGCTGACATTAAACATCAGGCCTGATTATGTCATCAACTACCTGTATGAGGTGTTTTCCCTTCAACCTAAAAAACACAAGCATTCGTGTAAACAACGTGATGTGTCAGGTGACAATGACTGTAGCAGAGCGACTGATGGGGAGAGTGTTGGGAGAGGCTGCAGGAGTGAATTTTTAAGGTGGAGGAAAGCAGGTCTGTCCTGCCTTTCTGTGTCAGTCTGTCCATATGTGTCTGAGTCATGATTTGTGCATCTCTATCCTGACTGGAGCTTTTTAAACATTACACATATTTATGTTTTCCTTTTATGGTTTAAACATGCCCCTTGTTAAATGTAACAGCGGTGGCTTTAAATGGTGTGTTTAAAAGTATGTTTATTTATTGTGTGTTTGTGTGTGTGCAGGATGCTGCAGCCCAGAGTCTCCAGAGATGTGGTTGAGGGAGGATCAGTACATGTTTGGCTGGATCTGACCAGTGAGTTCTATTCACTTTTAGCCCAATCAATATTACTTGGCTTTTTAATTCACATGATCTCATATTGCTGCCACAAGAGGGTGCCTTTTTAAGCCCGGAGGCAGCACAGAGTATTAATTCTATTATTGTTAGTTTTATTAACAGCTGAATAACTTTATGGCCTTAATGGCTGTGGCTGAATTTAATCTCTGTTGAACTGATTTTCACAGAATTTTGCATGCATCTTCAGACATAAAGTGTGATTCAAAATTCTGAGACCATTAGTAGCTTCTATTTTGCATGATTATGATTAATCAATTTAGATTTGTTTATTACATATTATGTGATTAGATAAATAATTTGAGTTTAGCAATTAAACTATATTTCAGTATAACATTCTTACTCATCAATATTTCAGACCGACAGATTGCCCTAATGCTGCAGAAAAAACTCCATGAGGCCTTTGAGGTGAGTTTTAATGTACATTTAAGTTTTTCCCCATCCTTCGAATACATGAAACATTTTTCCTGGTCTTATTCTGAACTTTCAAAAGGCTTTTATCGAGACAAAGCTGGGGAGTTTGTCATACATGGTGGCCGTCCCTGTAAAGGTGAGTACCTAGCACTGATGTTCTTCAATTTCAAAGCTTGAATGAGTCATACACCTTTGTTGTCAAATATTCTGTATGTAATTTTATTGTTTTTTCCTCTTCATCCTGTCTTTCTCTCTCCTTTATCTCATTTTATTTTTTTCTCTACGTGTGCCTTATTACTCTATCCTCTCATTTATCTGTCTTATTTTTCTTTATTTCTCTCTTTATTTTTCTTTTCTTAAAATACCTTCCTTATTTCTTGTTTCATAGTTTGAAGAACCTATATATGGCAAAAAGAACACAGATTTCACAACTTTTGTGACGCCAGGAGCAGTTTTGAGGTAAGCACACATGCATGCACACGTATGCCATTAATTACATTAATCACAACATTAATACAGATGCACACTTACAGCCATTCAAATGTATTACTACAGTGTCAGATAATACTACTGCATCATGATGGACCTCTTCCAATATCATCTATCTCTCCTTTTCTTTCTCTTTTCAGCATCACATTTTACCTGGCAGTGGGGTTGACCGCTCTGTCCTTTGTGTTAGAGAGAAAGGAGGGGCTGCTGGACAGGTGCTGGGTGGCAGGTGAGACAGCTCACATCCACCAGATGGCCATCATTTGATCTAGGGATGAATTTACTAAAGAATCATGGCACTTTTTAATGGAATATTTCAGCGTATAATCTTGTCTTATTTACAAACCACCCACAAACCATTCACAACCCTGCACTTAGAACCGTCCTGCAGGATAAGAAATTATGACTATTTACACAAATAGTACTTGGCTCTAAACTTGTGGTGTTCTCACCATTTTTATTGAATTACTTACTTTTCATCAACACTTCATGAACAAGCAGTTTTAGAGATTTACCAATAGGGGGAGCTGATCACCCACAGCAGCTAAAACCATGAGCAGCATAAAGAGATTTCAACACACTTGGTGAGCATTTCATAGTATGTGTTTCATAGATGTATGTGTGTATATGTTTCTTTGTGTGTGTTTCTCTGAAGGTGTGAGTTCTCTGGAGACCACGCTGGCACACCTCTTCTCACAGCTGTTTGTCACCAGTGTTCAAATCATCCTTCTGCTGATCTTCATCCTGCTGATCTTCAAAGTGAGTGTGTGTGTTAGCTGTGTGTTTATCTCTCATTAATACTTTACATGTATGTCTCTAGATTCAAGATCTGTGTGTCTGCGTGTTATTTCTGTTTGTAAGTGAAAGGGTAATTATATTTATTAGTAATATATACATCTCAGCAGTCCGGTCCCAAATATACATCTCTCAGCAGTCCGGTCCCAAATGACATCCTCAGTCTTTGCCATCCTTGGAGTCTACATTTGGGAGACATAATACCAGATAGACTGTTTAGTAGTCCACTGTGAAGTTTGCAGTAGTGCAGGACTGTATATTTACACAAGACCAAAAGCAATCTAAAGCCAAATTTCAAGCAATCAGATCCTCTCATCTTAAGGTTTAGAAGGATAATTAGCCAGAATATCGTTTTCTTCCTTTATTAACAAATACCTAGAAATCTGTGAAAAGGTGTCTGCTTTTCAAAGTATCAGCTAGATATGTTTATACATTGCCGTTAAAAAAATTAGGGTTGTGAGATTTTATTTTTTTTCTTCATGTTTTTGAAAGACGTCTCTGATGCTCATAAAGGCTGCATTTATTTGATCAAAATACAGGGGAAAAAAGTACTATTGTGAAAATTCATTAATTAGAAAACTTCAAGAAATTCATACAGGTTTGGAACAACTTGAGGGTGAGTAAATGATGACAGAATTTTCATTTTCATTTCATTTATTTTCCCATAATCCTTTGCCCGGACTCATCAGCACTCATTACTGCGTCTCATTATCCCTGTCCGCTCACCCTATAGACCAATTTGGTGTTTACAAATGGTGATGACTTTTTTTATGGGCGGAGTGGTGGCAGAAAATGACAGCTTTCAAGTAGCAGTCTATGGAAGCCATGGAATAAAAGAATAAAAAAGGTAATTTTGAGTTTGTATTTCAAAATTCTGATTTTTTTCTCGCAATTCCGAGATTATATTTCACAATTCTGATAAGAAAAATCAACTCCTCATTCTCTCTCTTTTCCCCTCGGCTCAGAATGAGTTTATATTCCACACTTCTGGCTTTTCCCCCCTCAGAATTGACAAAATTGCAATTGTTGAGTTAAATTGAGTTATAAAGTCTGAACTAGGAGATATAAACTTGCATTTGCGAGAAAAAAAAGTCAGAATTGTGAGATAAAATAGGTAAATGTTATAGGTTTAAATAGTTGGCTATTTCAGTAGGCAGCAAGCTCTGGTGGCCAAGTAGCTTGATAGGCTGCGGGTTCCAGCATGCCCTGCACTAAGGATTGCGAGCCCAGTATTTGTAGTGTCTTCCACTTCAGAGGCTCGTCCTGTCATGGCCGCCACTCCAGAGCCTCTCTGCAATATGGCTGCCACGCCAGAGTCTCCAGCCATCATGGACACCGCGCCAGTGTTCCCGGCCGTCATGATCGTTGCTCCTAAAGCAAGTAAGGCAGTGGCCAGGCAACCGAGACTGATGTCCAGTGTGGAGGACCTACCGCTGATGTTGGTTTGAGTGGCAGGCATCACAGTGGCCTCAGCGCTCTCAAGCCCGGCAATTTCAAAGGTTCTACCACCCTTCGCTGCCCTTCCAGTTATGGCGATGGCCATTTTGTGTGTTTGGGCTGCACACTGCTCTCTGGCCCATGAGTCTGCTCCAGAGCCCACTCCAGTCCTTGAATCTGTGCCAGAGTCCACTCAATCCCCAGAGCTCAGTCCTGTGTTGGCATCAGACCAAGAGCTCCCTACCTGTCCTGTTTTGACCACAGTGGTCGTCCATGTACTCACTGCCTGTCCCGTTACAACCATGGAGGCCACCTTTGAACTCACAGTTTGCCTTGTTATGGCCAAGGAGGCCGTCTCTGAGAAGACCACTGACCACTCTGAGAGGCCTGCCATGTCACGGCCAAGGAGGCCGTTCCCGCTTGTCCTGTCACTGCCAAAGTCATCTCTGAACAGTTTGCCTGTCCTGTTGCGGCTGTTAACCTCTCTGTGCTCTCTATTCCAGTCCTGCCTGGGCCGCCTTGGTGGTCTCCTGCCTCATTAGCTCCACTTTGGTGGACATCTGCTCAGCCTGAGCCATCTTGGTGGTCATCGGCTCTACCGTGGAGATCTTTGGTCACCACCTGCTCTGCTGTGGTGGTCATCTGCTCCACCATGGGGATCTTTGGTCCCATCTTCTCCGCCCTAGTGGTCTTCAGCTCCGACCTGGTGGTCTTCGGCACCGCCCTGGCTTCCTGCTCCGCCGGCCCTGCCCTGGTCACCTGCTCCTTTAGCTCCACCTTGGCTCCCCAATTTGCCTCAATCTTCAGTCCTACATCCTCTCCATGGACCTGGCCCTCTATCCCTCCCCCTGTTCCGCCTCCGCTCCGCCACCCTCCTGGACTTTTGTTTTGTGTTTTTTGTTTGGAGAGTCTGGAAACCACTCCTTAGGAGGGGGCTATGTCACAGTCACCAGCTGGAGTGCCTTTGATAACCACCAGAGGGCACTCTATCCTATTCCTCTTGTCATTCAGTATTGGACTTAATTTGCTATAATCCTTTGCCCAGACTCATCAGCACTCGTTTACACCTGTGTCTCGTTAACCCTGCTCACCCTATATATACGGTGCGTTCCAAACAGTATATATCGCCCTCCGAAGAGCACTTCGGAGTGAATACAATAATGGCCACCATATTGAAAGGCCGTTCCAAACCGAAGTGCTCAAAACTGGCCACTTCAAAGGGCACTTCAGAATGAAGGATTTCGAAGGGTACAACTGATGGACACTTTGGGCCCCATGATCCTTTGCACAGGGAAGTTGTTTGGCGTCACAGAGTTTGACTTCGCCTATAAATGTATGTATAGTATTTTTCTACACTACTGTAATATTTTAACGAGTTAGATTTTGTCATTATTATGGTCAAAACGACATTGTACTTCAACAAAATAATTTACAGCTACCTTTATCAGTCCATTCAAATGTTTCAAATACATAGACACAATATACATTACAAATACATATTACATTACATTACATATACAAATATACATTATATTTCACGTAAAAGATGACTGGGGGTCAACAGCATACAAAATGTATGACGAAGGCACCTCCTTGATCGTCTTGTTAGGATGACGCAGAAGTGCGTTCCAAAAAAAGTTTTTTTTTTTTTACTCCTACACCCTTCATCCCTTCAAAGCTCTCACTCCGGAGGGTAAACCCTTTGAAGGGATTAGGGCATAGGGAAGAGCCCTTCCGAATGGAACGCAGGGTTAGCCTGGTTCATTCAGTCATTGATTGTGAAGTCTTGCATGTGTTAAGTACTGCATTTCTGAGCCGTTATTTCCTGTTTACATATGTCTTGGTTTATTCTGACCCTTGTTCTGGATTACTCTTTGTCTGTGTTTCTTGTTATTGTTTGGACGGTTTTGCTGGTTTATGACTTTTACCTGTGTTTGGATCACTATTGTGGATTACCCTCTGAATAAACGCTGCATTTGGATCCTCAGTCTTCGTGTCTCAGAGCAGTTCATGACATTTTATGTTTACATACATTATTTAGTATATTGTAATATCTGAAAGTGTCATCATACCTTGTGTGCTTCATATGGATGGTGTAAGCTGTAAAACAGCTCTTTCATAATATTTTTTATCATTGTCACCATATATTTTTTCTCTTTTATGTCTCTCTCTCTTTGCAGATTCCTAATGAAGGATCTCTGGCTTTGGTTATCTCATTGATTGTGCTGCAGGGAGTGACAGGAATCTCCTTCGGGCTGGTCATCTCCTCTGCTATCAATGACGAGCAGTCGGCCAATCAGGCAGCTCTTGGAATCTTCTACCCCAACCTCATCATTAGCGGTACACTGTCTGATCTCACAGATGCTAAAAAATAAATTGGATAGGATAAGTTTACGCTGTGGCTTATTTTTCTTGGTAATATTTATATTTAAGTTACCCTTAAACCTCACACTTTAGTATTGATGCAGCCCTCTGTGTTAAGACTGTCTATCATTTCTCCCTCCACCCAAAAATGGTGCAGTCCAGAAAATATAATAAGGGCTATATGAGGGCCATACTATCTGGGTGTGTCCAGTGGATTAATGGATGTGATTCCACAGTGAGTAAACTCGTGGATTGATAGTGGAGTGGAATAAACCGGGTGAATGATGATTGATGGATGAGATAAAAATGGAGGAAATGTTATTGTAAAGAAATGGAAGGAAGTTTTCTTTAGTGAGGTCTTGACCCCACTTACTGGTCATAACTCACATTAACATGCACCATCTAATTTATCATTTGTCATTTATGGCCTGCTCAAGTAACAAAAGCTCACTAGTAACTACTAAAAATATACACATAGATAATGTTACAGATTAAACTTTCACATTAATGAAATTAGTCATCTCTGTGTTCCTCTGTCTGCCTCCTGTAGGTGTTATCTGGCCAGTTGAGTGTATCCCATATCCTCTGCGTTATTTGAGTCTAGTACTGCCCCAGACCTATGCATCTGAAGCCCTGCGCTGCATCATGTACAGAGGTAGAGTGTGTGCACTTATGCACGCGCACACACACACACACACACACACACATTTAATATAGCACCGGTACCACTGAACTTACGATGTAAATCTATTATTTGCAGTATATAATAATAATAATAATAAACATAATAATTAATTGCAAAAAAATATATAATTTATTCATTTAAAATAAGTATATTATAAATACATTTATAATTTTGTCAGTAACTCAAACTGAAATGTGTACACAACATGAATAATGTGCAATGGTCGTAGTGGTTGAGTTGGAGGAGTCTTCTCACCTATCACAATTCATAGAAACGGAGTGTCTACCGTGTTGCTGTCATCACGTCACACATTTCAAAGGGACTGTCCTACCCACACACATCAGATATCTAACGTCTCTTCTGTGATGTGTTCAGCCGACACACACAACAGTCTTCTCTGAAGTCCCACTCACCTAACATTTTCCCTCTGATACAAACATCTTGAGTTACAGCATACCTCATGACACCTGACACTCTTCTCTCAATTATTCACGGAGCAGGAGGAGCGTCTGCCTCCATTCCTAAATTAAACACACAGCCTCCCTGTTGTTTACCTGCAAGCATTGCTCACGGACGGGAAACGGTTGGTTAGATAGTGAAAGGCTCAGAGGATGCCACACAGTCAAAGTTCAAGTCCAAACATATTTTTTGTTTATTACTGTCTTATTCTATTTTATCTGTGACTATTTAAAAATAGGGTAACACTTTATTTCGATAGTCCACTTTAGACATTCTATTAACAGTAAGTAACTTTGCAACTACATGTCAACTAGCAGTTAGTAGAGTATTAGTAGACTGTCTGCTTAATATCTTCTAACACTTTCTTTGTCAACTCATTCTACTAACCCTAAACTTACCCTAACAGTCTACTCTGAGAGTTAGTAGACATGTAGTTGCAAATGAATGAGAATTAGTTGACATGTAGTTACAAAGTTACTTATAGTTAATAGAATGTTTAAAGTGGACTATCGAAATAAAGTGTAACCAAAAATAGTCTTGTAGAGCCAGATTTTTAACTATCTACATAATGTTTGGTTAACTCAACTCAACAACTGTCCTAAATGCTCCCCTCTCTCATGTAGTGTTGACAAGTCTGATTCATTCTAGTGAATCGTTTCGATCAAATGGTTCGTGTGTATAAACAGAGGCTTTCACAGATGTGAGAATTTAACAAATTTAACCGCTTCCTTAAATTTTACATTGATTTGTTTTCTGTCATCAGATCATGTTATGGTCCTGATCTTCTTACGATTCTCTAATTTCACATTCAGGTTGGGGTCTGTCCCGTATGATGGTTTGGCGAAGTTTTGTGGTCACTCTGGGCTGGAACACATTCTTCCTTATGCTGGCAACGGTCATTCTCAAGCTGAGAACGTGAGAGGCTCTGCCAAGGAAAGGTGCTTCAGATTGGGTATAGTGGTGTTTGACGAGGCCAAAGATTGATCTACATATGGATCTGCCAATCTGAGCCTCTCTCTCCTTTAATATGCCATTGACACAAAACTGGCCTCCCAAGGAGCATCAGCATGAAACTCAGGGCATCCCTCAACCAGCTCAGAGACCTATTCAACAAACAGTTTGCTGACAATGTGATGCATAACACTCATCATGAGTTTCCCATGGGCTTCAATTATATTAAAAAGTCCATCAAAGAAGAAGAAAGGAAGTGTTGAAGCCAACTGTTGAACTTTCCATACCCTCTTTCCCCCACTTGTATATATAATGAATCCTGAATTCAGATTCACTGATTAGGTTTCTTAGTGTATGTTCCATATGCCTTGTCTGTGCCAGTAAACCTTACATTGGGTACAACCAGACATCTAAATTGCTTTAAGGAATCTTACAGTGTTCCCACCCTTGAATTCACTCATCCTGAACAAAAAGAACACTGCTTACCAATTCATTCCAATTCATCATTGGGCACGGTTCACCCTTTGCATAGTAGTGTTTTGTTTTCCGAATTGCTGCTTGTCCTTTTTTTTTTTTTCTTTTCTTTTTTTTTTGATTAGCAGTCTGGGTGTTAATAATCCATCAAGTGCCATAAAGAAAATGAAGGAAGAACTGCAATGTTTACATTGAGCACATAGCAGGCCAAAGTCAAACCTGCGTGTTGAACTGAAGTTTAGTCCTGTATTTTAATATATATTATATTTAAAAGGCAGCACAAACTGCATTGCAATGCAAGCCATATGCTCCAGTTACTTGGAATGGTGAAAATATTTTGATGGATATTTTAGCGTGCAATATTTGATGAGCGAAATGCATATAGACTATTTTAAATAGATACCTAATGCTTATTGGTTTGGGGCATAAATCTTAGGTGTGTTTCACTGTCCTTCTTAAATGCCAACAAATTTCTTATGCTTTCAAATTTTCTTCTCTTTGAATCTTGAAGTTCAACATTAGGATGCTTGATTTCTACCTTTACCTTCTCCGACCAGCTCCAGGTTCTGGTTTGGTTTAAATTCTCTGAAGTCTCAACTGAACAAATCTAGACCCTGCTTAACTCAAACGAAAGACTTTGCAAGTTACTGTTAGTTTGTTTAAAATTTAATTTGGTTCACATTATATCAGATATCTGTACTTTGAAAAGTTTGAAAAGTTCACAAACTAAACACTATTGTTTTAAGTAAATGGAAAATTTAACCGTAAAATGCTGCTGTTTAAAAGTTCTGCAAATATTTAAGAATTATGACGGCCTTTTCTTTGTAGTTATAATGACGCCCACACTAAAGGCTGGAATTTCATGGTATGTTTTGATAGAACATAGGCTGACAGTTGATTTTAGGACTAGAGTTTTGTTGGTTCTAAATTTTCTGTGTCTGGCTCCGGTTGAGGCTTAGAGACAAATGTTTGGCAAAGGTTTGTTAAGCACTGTGCCATTTTGAAAGGTCATCGTGTCACCTTTATACACACACAAGACAATTTGCTACCTCTTATTGTTGCATGTAAAGTCCCATATATATGTGCACATTGACATGCTCTTGGTGTAAAATGATCTTTATGGAATTAATGACATCTTTTTCAAAAATAAACCTTTTTAATAAGATCTCATGTTTGTATAATGACTTGTTATTTGTATATATTTAATGTTTATCAAAATCCGTCACCCACTCTTTAAGGTCTTGCACTTTTCTTCTCCAACCTCTTTCATTAGCCCATTATCCCATTTCAATATTTACATTTCAAATCTCAACTGGCTTCAAAAACTTCTCAAGATCAATCATAAGTTTAATAGGTTATTCCCAGAATATTACAGATATTTTCCTCACCGATTTCCAATGTAAAAATATCACTGCAAACACACTTCCTGTTTTGATGAACCAGTCGAAATGATTCATCTATGCATCATGCCATAAATGCTAATCAGAGACAATATAATTTAAAAATAACTATTCCTGTAACAAGGTCAGCTACATCCAGCATGCTGGCACACCGATAAACAAATAAGCTTATTGATTCTGAAACTTGTATTATTAATCTTATCTGATATCTACTGATGTAAGTATCGCTGACGATGAAAGAAAGGTCAGGCAGTCAGATACATCAGGTCAGTTACCCATCCATGCTGCTGACGTAATGTTAGTGTAGTTGTCTGAATCATTTAACGTCAAGCTGTTTGTCAGTGTCAACTTCCAGCTCTTATGCAACAGGTTCTGAAGATTGTGTTACCTGTTTTCATAATAAATGAGAATTATTAAGATGCTGTCAAATCGCTAATTTCTATTGAATTGTCTCATTCCACTGTCAGGAACCAAGACACTTCTAAGAACAAGCTAAAACTTTACTCCGTATTCTCCAGTTAGGCACGACTGGAAAAATGCCCATCCTCCCATATCAGGCATCATTTATTACAGCCAGGAAATCAAACACCACACCCAAGTTACATGATCAGGATTCGTAGTTGCTCTAGAAATACAAGCGATCCATTACTGGAAGTCAGCTGATGAAAAATTGATTATTCTGGATTTTATTTCTAAGAAAAGTGTTCTTCTCTGACTTTCAAGTTTGAGAAAAATTCACAAAACTGCAGTAATTATTGGGTTATCCAATAAACACAATTTCCCTCACACCAAAATCACTTTTTCATTTTATGAGAATTGATGCAACTTTCATAGAAATACAGGGGTGGAATAGTTATACCAAGAATAAAAACGCATAGAGATACAGTGACTAGATGACATCACCAGCAATTCACCCAGTGAAATCAAAGTCTATGAATAGATTCTTTGCAAGGGTCTCTCTGCTTTGTTAGGGCAAGTTTGGATTTAGAAGGGTAAAAAAAAACAAAAAAACCTCAAGGAAGAGATGACTTCTGTTCTGAGAGAGAATCTATTGCAGATTATCATTACTCTGTTAAATCTGAGAGAGAACCAGATATTCATTTGCCCTCTATTTAAGTATTTTTATGCCGCCATTTTGAAATATAGCTCAATGCAGGTGATCTTGAACATTAAAAAGTATCTTGACTCTTGTACACACGCTTCTATTCTTTTGTTTTCCCATTTTCTAAACAATCTGTAAATATATTTTTGTGCATAGTTACAGTCACCATGACAGCCGGGACAACAATCTGAATGCCAGCCCCCAAACTTGTTGGTATTGTTGGTAATATTTGGTTAAGCACGAGTGTTGTGATTCTCTCACATGCTGCTCACTTGACAGCACATCTCTTATGTTTGAATCTTATCAGGGCAGCACTTAAAATAGGCTCTCAAATCACCTTTCAGATAAAACAATGGCCTTTGGAGTCATTTGCAATGTGTAGACACCATCATATGCGAAATCAGGGACTTTCTTTCCTACATTTATAGACATTGAATAGGCCTATAAAACAGCACAAAGCATATGCCATCAAATAAAAGATTAGTATGGTGCTGAAACAGACAAACCATTTAAAGGGGCCGTTCACATGGAATGTGTTTTTGCATTTAAAAACACTAGACACAGGGATGTGGAGTGGAAAAAATGAAAGGTGTAAAGACGTGTTTTTAAAACTTATTTTAACTTGACAGTTGCATTTTAGAACACATTTTGCGCGTTAAAATGCGAGATACAACACAGAGGAGAGAACACAGGCGCTCATGCACTAAACGCTAAAAAAAGCAAATGCTGCACGCAAAATACATTTGTGTTAAGCATGTTTACATTAAAAAACAATTAGCAAGCAGTGCTGAGAAACTCAAAAACGCATCCTTTGTGGACTAGTCCTTAGTTTGTGTTTGTGTAAGAGAGAGAGAGAGTGTGTCATACAGGTGAGAACTGTAGGTATGAGGTGTCAGTGTCGTTGCCATAACAACATAAACACAGACAACACAGATATTAATCTACACCACAGCTAAGCTAGTGTGATATGTATGCATGTAAATGTGTGCACTGACTAACCACTAACCACGCTGATCTCCGAAGCTTTCTACAAATGGATGTAAAATGTATGCTTGTTATTTCGTTGATCCACCTGGCTTACATTGTTTTTGGAGCGTGATAAAATTATATGTATTTCAACACATGACTTGTGCCAACATTACACTGTTTTCACAACACTGCCCTGAGCTATGAGCAGGCTTGGGCTAGAGTTGAAGGTGGATGTAAGGATATTACCAGATCATGTCTGAACAAATCAACCTCTCCTGGGAACCCTTTCGCAAACACAGTGTTGAGTTACATGGCACTGTTAAATCAGCTCTCTACTGAACATGTTATCTATACACCAGGACTAGTCATAATGTTTTTGCTTTTAAGTGCAAGGAAAGTCCCATATCACAAAAGAGTGGGTGGAAGAGAGATGATCTGATTACTTTTAGGTTTATGTAAGCAGGTGATGTGACATCTATCTCCTTGAGACATGCACAAGAAATAAAATGTTTTTTTTATTTACTTGACGCAAAGAGTAAACTTTTAGTACACTCAGAATAAGGGAGAATCAGAGCATCTATTTTTTTTTTGTTCGGCATAATCACATAAGATAAGTTTAGCAGCACTGTCTAAATGAAACGGGCTGTGGCTGTGTAGCGTCATTGTGCTCAAAATAATCAAAAATACTGATGTCCCTGGATACTAGGGCTGGGGTTTGACACAAATTTCACGATTCGATTCGATTCTCATTCACAAGCTTGCGATTCGATTCGATTACCGATTCGATTCAATATCGATTATTTTGGATATATATTAGGTACAGTACATGCCAAATTTTCTCAAGGAAAAAAATCTCTCAACTAATGCTGTAAAATAGCCTATACATGAGAGTCGTACTACATTACAATAATATCGAAGGTAAAAATTGACTGATTTGTTAAAATTACACTTAATGAAGTTTTTTAAAATAATACAATTACATAATAATATGTCTACTTCAATTTGAGAGCCAGTTGGTACTACATTACTATAATATTGAAGGTAAAAATTGACTGATTTGTTAAAATTACACTTAATGAAGTTTTTTTAAATAATACAATTACATAATAATATGTCTACTTCAATTTGTTTTTGTTTTTTTTTAAATATAAACATAATGGTGGCTGTCATAAAAACTTGATGGATTTATTCAAACATAAATTAAACATTTAAGAACAGTAACATTTATAATGAATATGTTATATGGTGCATATATTTAGCAAAATGCCCCTCTCTACAGTATCAAAAAGAAAAATGCCCCTCTCCACAATATCAAAAAGAAGATACTATGTCTGCTTTTGAAGAAATTGATAGCAAAATTT